TCATACTCATCCAACTCCAGGAGACTTTTTGCATACAAACATATTAATCCCAGAATGGAATGATCAATGGCAGAACTGTGAGATCGATATTCTATTGCTTTCTTGAAAGACGCCGCCGCCTCCTCAAAATTTCTTAACTTGATAAATGCCTTACCCATTGCTTCCCAGAGCAAGGATTTTGCATCGCTAAAAAGAGATGGAAAATCATTTAGGCGTTCAAAACTATTTTCAAGCAAGGCAATGGCTTCCTCGGTCTGTCCACTTTCAAGCAAACTAAGGGCTACATTTGTTTCAGATATTATAATAGCCTTTAGTGGTGCATTCGTTTGTTCTTTGATTTGGAGACCTTTCCGATAATATTCCGCAGCTTTAACAAAATCTTTCTTTCTTTCATACATAACACCCATATTGTTCATGATAGACCCAATGATAGGATGGTTTTCTGTTCCAATAACATGACGTCTACGTTTTAAAACTTCTAGCTGAAAAGGTTCACCTTTTTCAATGTTACCTGCATTTGTAAAATAAATAAGTGCATTACAAAAACTTACAAACACGACAAAAGTGTACGTGAATTATAGATATATTCAAGCTGGCAACTTCATAATATTCTTCCTGGTAAATTCTGAAAGGTAAACATTAACGTTCTTCGAAGACAAGGTTCCAAAAGAAGTATATAACAAATTATATACTCTTCTATAAACCTTCAACGGACCGACTTATGGAAACCTAATTGTTGCTTTGATATGTTTATGAAGCCTGTATTGAAACAAAGACTGATGCTTTTATTTAGTGTTCACCTAAATGTATTCAAACGTTTTAATATTTACCAGATATATTTAGAAATATCGCAAGGGATTGCATAGTTTGTAGAATCAGATTTTCGTAATGCATCTTAAGCTCCAGTTCCACTTGCAAAGCCTCTTCTAAGATTCTTTAAAAAATAAAATATTTCTTGATTTAGAAATGTACAGTGATGACTAAATCTTAGAAAAAGTTAAATTTAACGTGTTTAGTATTTATATTCAGCTATCTAGGACTAATTTTACTGATCTATGTTTTCTAAATCATTATATAACATCGGTTGAAGACCTTCACGAATAAGTTGATCATCAATATCACCATTATGTAAACTGCATTAAAGATTGCACCAGAAACAAAACATTAAAAGGAGTATTTTGAATAGAAAATAAATGGTCATTGAATCATTAGAAATTGACAAATGGAAGATGGCACTGTTAAAATGTTCTGATAGACATAAAATGGCGGATATCATTTACCGTATGGCATCCACAAACTTCCCCTGAGAACCTAGATTCCATCCATAGCTTTGACATAGAAGAGCCAAGAAATAATCTCTTTTCTTGGGATGTCTTCTTCGAATTTCCATTGCTATTTGAAATTTCTCTTCAGCTTGTAAATAATCCCCCTAAAAGAGATTAAATTTTCGTTTAAATTTAACATTTCACAAATTCTCTGGTTGATACTTAACTATGACATTGTCTGCAAAAACAATCTTTCGTTATGTCGAAAGTTGACTGATGTCTTTTATACAAACAGCGATTGTTTTCACACATATTTCTCTAGGATTTTTCCGTTTACTCGATCATGAAAAGGTACACACGACGTGTGCGACGGGTTGACAGTAGATGCTTACTCCTTCATGGCACCTGATCCCATCTCTTTTTTTTTTCAGGGGGCCATGTTGGCTTTCACACAATTTGTATTGATTAAATGGACTTTTGAGCATGTCTGTTTGTTATCTTTACATTTTATTCTAATAGAGTTATCAAAATGATACGGTATAAGGTATTAAAATATTATATTGTGAAATCACTAATTTTTGTGGTGTTAATTTTTGTTGTTTTCGAGGTATAAAGAGACCCACAAATTTATTAATTCATTTATTTTGTTATCATAATGATATGCTAGTAGAAATTAAACATCAACTATATATATTATTTACATTCATTAATTATATTGAATACCGGAGCGGAATAACTTCGTTTAAAGCAACATAAATATTCCCATACATGATCAATATATAACCCAACCCTAACTCAAGAACGCCTGTCTCATGGGCCATAGATTTCACAACTTTGAAGAGGAATCCTTGCCCATCATAACTATGCACTTCATTTGTATACTTAATACCCTGGAGCAGAGAAGATGATTTTCAAATAAATAACCATTTTCACTACATGTATATGATCGATGGAACCCAATCCTAACATCAGAACCACTGACCCGTAGGCCATAAATTTCACAAATTTAGAAGAGGCACTCTTGCTCATTAAAACTATGCACTTAGTTTGTTTGCAAAATACCCAGGTGTATAGAAGATTTCAGAGAAAACTGTTTTCAAAGAATTAATGCATTAAATGATCAATAGAGCCCCGACCTAACACAGTACCCCTAACTCAGAGGTCACGACTTTCTGAATTTTGATAGACACTTTTGCGAATTAGAACCACGCATTTTGCTTGTCTGCTAAATATACAGGGGGACGAATAATTTTTGAAGAATTTATGCATTTTCACTATATAATTTATGGAGCCCCACCCAAACACCAGAACACTGAACCTGGGGCCATGAATTTCAAAGTTTTGGTAGAAGGCTTAATGCTTATTACAATTATGCCACTGCTTCACAGGTTTCACTGCTTAATGTCTGTAAGAGATTTTTAAAGATCGCACTAATTTAGATGGTTTTAGTCCCGTCTCTCAAGCCCTCCCATGGGAGGGGAAGAGGAAAGGGGGCAGGGGAGACCGTGAAATCCACAGCTATTGTTCCCTTTACCCATAGTTGATTTATGCCTAATTGGTTTAAACTGGTTCAGCGTTTCCAGAGAAGGAACTCTTAATATTCAAATGTTAACGCATGACGGACGATGGCGGACAAAATCATATACTTTAGGTTGCCTGAGTGACACAGGTGACGTAAAAATGTTTTTTGCACATTAAAAAAAAAACGAACAGCCACTCTTAAGCATGACCGTCAATTCAGAAGTGCTACTACTAACTTTCTTACTTGAAATCATAAAAGAATTGAAAAACCTTAATGTTTGTTAACACTCGTCCATATCCAGTGAGTACTTTTGCCTCATCCAAATCCTGTCTGAATTCTTGCGCTTTCTGCAAGCATTTCTCATAAAACTCTACGCCAACATCTAAAAAATTATTTGTCGTTGATTAGATAAAAAGTGTTGTTTTTTTGACATATTTTTCTTTCATATATTTAGCAATATATCAAATAAGTAAATTTTCGGATGACACATGAAACGACAATACCACTTACTATATGTTGCCATGGTTTTGAACATAATTGTTCCGCCACCTATTGTCGTTGCTGCTAAGTCTATAAACACGTGATACGTATCCTCTGTGCAGTAAATGACGTCAGTAAACAACTTCCCGAAGTTCCGATGCTCCACATTTAACCTGCATAGGGCGTCGGCGTAGTCTTTAGTATAAGTCTGCTTTTCAATTTCCTTCAGAATGTAAGAAAAAGTCCGGCAGAATCTCGACCGAACACCTGAAGAAAGCAAAGCTTTCTTTTTGTAGTACTATATATAACTAATAGTTTTTTAAAATTCTAGTATTTAAAAAATGAATTCGCCATTGTTATCATTTTCTAGTTCAACTTGAACTTGCAAACGCTACATTTCTTGAACACATTTTAGTTAGATATTTTACGAAGCACTTTTTTCTTTACAATAGGCACCTTTTATGTCTTTGATCTTTAAATATTCAGTGATGCAGTCCCTTAATATTCCATGAATATCAAATCTCTCTTTCGTTTGTTTTGAAATCAAATGACGCTGTAAAAATGTCTGTATTGTTTCTTGCGAATCTTCTTCACCAGGACCTTTATCAAAGAGAAAAATAATTTGTTTTAAGCTAATAACGCAATATGAACTAAATACAAAACATAACATAAGTATTACCTAAAGTATTTAGTGCTTCCTGTAAATCAAATGTGCCTGGAATGTAATTCACAATTGCTAAATTTTCTCCTAAGACTTTGGGAAGTCTTTCCAGGAATCCTTTATAAATCGATTCTACAAGAAAATAAGCGTTTTTAGAAATGTAAAAAAAAATGGTTCTTTAATGAAGAACAAAATACCATAATAATATTTGAATAGTAATTTTGATTCAAATTCTGAAAAATGCACAGGAAGAACTGTTTGCGTTTTGGAGTAATTCAAATTATGAAACATTGTTAAATGCACGGGTAGATGAGTTTTAAATCTTATATTTGAATACAAATATTGTGCAGAAGATAATGATGGACATACCAATTTTTTCATCTTGTGTATAGCATTCTGAACTCAATATTCTTAGCCTTTGATGACTAAGTAAATAAATAATATCGTCCGCGTCTAGAGTGCTATTATCATCCTGTACTTCTCCAACAGCCAGGAGCAGTGCAAGAGGAAGTCCCTCGCAGAGTTCTACGATCTTTGATATTTTATCTGTGTCCTTTAGAGACGGACAAATAGTTTTCAGAAGATCAAAGGAATCCTCATAAGAAAGTTCTTTCAGTGGTAATTCATCCAACTGAACCTTTTCAGATGAAACTCCAGTGGTTGATGTCACTAATATTTTTGTACTTTTTAATTGTGAAAGCGAAAGTAGAATTTCCACACTGAGATCATCAACGTCTTTGAAAACGTCCTCTGCATTGTCAAAAACAATTATGCTGTGTTTCATTCTAACAATATTTTCACATATGACAGAAAGCAGAGCTCTTATGTCATCCGTTATTACTTCCTCCTGTAAGAAGTGCCTCGCTAACGAATGAAGAACTTCCTCAGAGTTGTCTATATTCCGGAGATCGATCCAAAGATATGGTCGGTCAATGCGCTTACAATATTCCCTTGCTAAGGATGTTTTTCCGATGCCTTTTAATCCATGTATAACAATTATATCATGTCGTATAAGTTTCTCCGCTAATTTTTGCAGTTCTGATTTTCGACCAATAAATGTAGCCATTGTGTCGAATCTCAAGCGTACTGTGAGTTTCGATATGTTATCATTGATTAAGGAAGTTTAAATGGGTCGCATAGCTCATAAAGGATTAAATGTATAGGACGCAAATTTATACTTTACAAATATGATATGATAAAGAGTATCTTGTTCATCAACTTTTCTTGAAGAAAACTTTTAAATCTCTACTTATTCCTTGCTTTTATATAGGCAGTGAGAATAACAAGACACACCTTAATTAAACAGAAAGAATATAACACTGCATTTGACTCAAATAAGCTTTTTGATCGTGTTTCGCTACAAACGTCAAACGTTTTCATCATGTCATCAAATTTAAGTTTTAGTTTTGTTAAACGTTCAGACATTTCTTCACGTTTATTGAAATTTCTTAAATTTTCAAATACAAGAATCAGTCGATGTAGCTCATCCTTGGCGTGATTGAAGGTACGTACCAGTTCTTCTTTCAATCTGAGAGTGAACTTCACATCCATCAACAACATAATGCAATCAATAATGATAAGATTGGTAGGATCTTGTTCAATAATGAGGTTACGTAACCGTAATTCACGCTGTAAAACCCTCTCAGCTTTTTCATTTTTTCCAAGCGAGATAAGGCATTTTGCATAATCGTGGGCCAGGGCAAGTAAAGTAAGATCACACACTGATATTTTATATCTGAGTTCAAGCGCTTTTTTGTAAGATGTTGCTGCATTTTCGAAATGTCCCGATTTTGAATAAGCCTTACCAAGCGTCTCATAAAGCATAGATCTAACATCATAGTAGAGATCTGGAATATTTTCAAACCGCTCAAGGCTTTTGGTTAGCAATCCTATGGCCTTTTCATTTTCTCCCATTTCTATTAGATTCTCTGCAACATTCCTTTCAGAGAATATTATAGCTTTTAAAGCGGCATTTGTCTCCAGTTTTATTTCTAAACTCTTTTGAAAGAAATGCACTGCATTTGCATGGTCTCCTTTGTTTTTATACATGATTCCCATGTTGTTCATCACAGAACCGATTATCGGATGCTTGTCTGTTCCAATTACGTGGCGTCTTCGTCTTAACACTTCATGTTGCAAAGGTTCGCCTCTCCCTATACCGCCTGTAAAAAATGAAGATGGAAACGTATTCTTATATTTGTGTATTGTTATACCTGCAGTAAACTCATTATGATCGGCCAATGTTTTATCTAACCTGAGATATTGTAGAATATTGCGAGTGACTGCATTGTTTGAAGGATAAGATTTTCGTAGTACATTTTCAGTTCCTTCTCGATTTCGAATGCCATTTCTAAAATACTATTAAGTCAGAGAAAGTCAGTGAATGCATATCTCCAAGTCTAAAAATACATGTTTCATAATGATTGATTTCACTAGTACTAATAAATAAAATAATCCTACTAATAACCAGGTTGTGGAATTGATTCAGTAATGTCAAGAGTGTACAGTTATTACTGTGTTAGTATTTAATCAGTAAACAAGAAACTTCTGATTTGAGGTTATTTTACCTTAAAGATTCGGAAAATTTCCCTTGACACCCGAGGTTCCAACCAAAAGCCTGACATAACAAAGCAAGGTAAAAGTCTCTTCTTTCTGGATGCTGTTTTCTTAATTCAAAAGCAACACGAAACTTTTTCTCTCCTTCATCATAATTTCCCTAAAATTGATTTGACGTATTTAAACTGAAAAAATAAACATTTACTAAGTAGATTGCATGCAATATTTTAAATGATTTTATACGATTAATTTGATTATGATCATCAATTTGGGTTTTACCTTAATATTAGTGAGCACTCTTCCATATCCTGTTAATACTTTGGATTCATCTATTTCCTCTTTAAACTCTCTTGTTTTTTGCAAGCATTTCTCGAAATATTCTATTCCAAACTCTGTCAGAAAAGACAAAAATGTTCATTTATTTTACATTTAATTTAGCATTTTCTTTCTCCTGGTTATCATTGATTAAGATTTCAATAGAAATTCTCTGAAATCATTTCTTTTCAAACGTTTCTATATAAAGAAATTTGTACCGTATGTTGACATTGCAGTAAATAGCACGGCTCCGTCTGCGATAGTGGTGGCAGCTAAATCTACAAACACAGGGTACGTGTCCTCTGTGCAATGAATGACGTCAGTAAAAAGTTGCTGAAAATTCTGATGTTCCACATTCAACATACACATCGCACCTGCGTAATCTTCTGTTTGTGATTTGTTTTCTATTTCTTTTAATATATTTGCAAAAGTATGGCAAAACCTGGTTCGAACACCTATGAATTGGAGTACATGTAGTCAGCCAGAGGAGTTACACTTTAAATAACATTTACTATTGTAACTTTGTATCAGATGCAGTTTACCTTTTAAATCTTTAATTTTTAAATATTCTCTAATGCAATCTCGCAAGATTCCATGAATGTTGAATCTTCCCCCACGATCAGTTGACACGAGATGGCGTTGATGCAGCATTCGCAATGAAGCTTGACTTTCTTCATCAGAAAGACCTCACAAAGAATAAAATTTAATTTAATACTTATTTACCTCATTTACTCATCTATTGATCACAATAAAACACATGATAAATGTATACCTAAAATTTTTCTGGCCTCATCTTCGTTAAACGATCCAGGCATGTAATTAATGACAGCCAAATGCTCTTCTAATGCTTCGGAGAGCCGTTCCAAAAATCCCTTATACTTGGAATCTGAAAATGTATGTGAACATATCAATTTTTGTCTGAAAAATATGTAGATTATCTGCAAGCCTCATCCTTATCAGATTCATTTAAGCATGATGATATATTTCTTTAATGTTGTAAAAAAATGTCAAGTAACTACCAAGTGCTTGGGTACGAGGATTTGTCGCTCTCTTGCAGATTATCTTCCTCCTATTTTAACTATCGACTTATAACACAAGAAACGCATTACCTAAATAACTCTCTCTGCTAAGGTCATAAAATTAAACACATATTAAGCATATCTTTCCTATATGAGGCGTTGAAGTTCATAATTCTGAAATTCTAGTATGATATTTCAAATATTGATTTTATCGAGAAAACACATAATTCTGTAACTCACCTATTCTGTCGTCTTGTGCGTAATATTCCGAGCTTAGTATCCTCAATCTGCTCCGACTAAGTAGTTCAATAATATCTTCTGCATTCAACGGGTTATTGTCATCCGCAATTTCAGCTCCAGACAAAAGCATAGCCAGGGGGATGCCTTCACAAAGCTCTACAATTTTTCCAATTTTAGTTGTCTCTTTCAATGAAGGACATACATGTCCCAATAATTTCACTGAGTCAAAAAAGCACATCGGACGTAAGTGAAAATCATCGAAATTATCTTTCCTCATTGATAGACTAGTGATAGATGTTATCAAAATCTTGACATTCTTTATTCGGGCCAGGCTCTCTATTATGTGATTTGCAAATTCGAATTGATTTTCCTTATAAATATCTTCAGCATTATCGAAAATTATCAGAATCTCTTCTTTTCTATGAGCTATATTTTCTGTGAGGATTGTCAACATCTCGTCGAGGCTTTCGGTGGTAAAGCCGTCGTGTAAAATTTGTCGACCTAAAGCTTTTAGTAATCCCTCACAATTCACAACATATTTCAGGTCAATCCAAACAGATTTACAGTCCACCAGTTCACAAAATTGTCGAGCTAGTGATGATTTTCCTACAGCCTTGAGTCCGTGGATAACGACAACATCAGATTTAATGTATTTCCCCATTACTTCTCTGAGCTCGGCGTCTCTTCCTATAAAGGCAGCCATCTTACATGATGTAGTGTGTGTATATCTTATAAGCACATGTGGCGTTTCGATTGCTTCTACTTCGGTACGATTTATTCATAACTACAATGACGCGCTATGTAAACATGTAATATTTCAGTTACCTGTCCTCATCAGGTCATCAAACCGTATGAAAACACAAGGTGTTAATGATAAACAAAACTATGTTTGTACATATATTCGATGTCTTTTCATTGAAAAGTTATTAATCCTTCAACACTTTTCAGTATAATCTCAAACAAGACATTTAATTTATTCTATTATATGTAGCTGTTTAGATGAAATAGTTCGACAAGTCAATGAGTATTTTGCGCCATATATATAAAATATGCATACGTTGAGTTGTACCTGTAAGATAGAATACTCAGATTTAGAATAAAACTAAAGACATATTCTATTGGCTTTGTACGCAAATACCACAGACAACGTTTTATAAAGCAAAATTTAATACCAGACATTTTTTCAGCCTAGGCTGTCTGATACTTAAGCCACAGCTGAAGTATTCTCAAATGTGATATACTAAGTAGTCCTCCTTCATATCTCTAAGTTGTATAAATTATGTCATTTTTATAAAGTTAAAGTATGTCATTGAGGGAGTCAGCAAGATCCCAGTTCCCCAAGAGCAATCCTACGTCCAGAGGCGAAGCCTAGGGAAATTGCTGGAATCTTGCTGACTCCCACAGAAATATAACTTTGACTGTTTTATTATACCCAATACAAAGAGAAGACTAGATGTAAACCATGAAGATTATTTAAACGCAGTGCAGTTAAGATGCCCAATGGAAATATCAGAATTTTTTCAGATAAAAATATACATTTTTAGAAGAGGGAAGATTCTTTTTAGAACTTTACCAATATCGAACGAAGGTAAGATAGACGAAAACTAAATATTTAGGACGATTGAAATTTATATTTATATTGGTAGAGTGATCCGGCATTTATGTTATTTTAGCAAATACGAAATTCTGTCAAGACTTTAATTTTAATTTTATGTGAATATTTTATATCAGATATGTTAAAATCGCGCATTAAAAGATTGAGGGGCAATATGAGAACCATCTATCCTTCTGTATTCAATAATCCAGAAGGGAAAAAAGAATTAGATAGATTACATGATAATTAAGTACTGGTTCCTGCTGACAAAGCAGATAACAACATTGTCTTTGTTTGTAAGGCTTATTATATTTAATGTATTTTAGAGGAACTTGGATTTAATTCTACAAGTGGCAATCCAACTTATACTCATAGCTCCCTTTCTAAGGAAGAAATTCTTCAAAATCATATGTCAGTTTTGAATATTTTTAATATTCCAAACAACCAAAATGAATTTGAATTATCATATCTATATTGGATTCCGAAACTTCATAAAAATCCTTACAAACAAAGATACATAGCGGGTTCCAGTAAATGTTCAACCAAGCCTCTTTCTTCACTCCTCATTGAGATATTAACAGTAATGAAGGAGAAACTTCAAGAGTATTGTGCACCAATATATTCGAGAAGTGGTGTGAATCAGATGTGGATACTTAAACATTCCAAGGAACTTTTGGAAAATTTGAAATCGCAAGAATTTACCAAAATTAACAGCTTAAAAACTTATGACTTTTCAACTTTATACACAACCATTCCCCACGATAAATTAAAGTCCAGGCATTTTGATATCATTGACAGCTGCTTTTTCAATAAAAATGGAACTCATAAATTTACTTACCTTGTCATTGGTCATTTGCAAAATTATTTTGTTAAAAAACATTCTGATAGTGCACACAAGTATTCTGAAGTTGACATTAAAAAGATGCTTGAGTTTCTGATTTACAATATCTGTGTGGTTTTTGGAGACCAGGTCTTCCAACAATCTATTGGAATTCCCATGGGTACCACTTGCGCCCCGTTATTAGCAGACCTTTTTTTGTATTCATATGAAGCAGAATTTGTCCAAAATCTTATACGTGAAAAGAAGAAAACACTTGCTGCGGCCTTCAACTCGACATTTAGATATATCGACGACGTATTGTCAATTAACAATGGTTATTTCCATTCTTATGTCCATACGATATATCCCGGTGAGCGACGGGCACCTGGGTTTTTTTTCTCCAAAGAAATGATTCAAGATGGATCTTCACCCCAGAAAACGTTGTAAATTCTTAAAACGATTTTAACAATCAAGAAACAAAATTTACAATATTAAGGTTCTTCCACAAGAGGCATAAATAATTAATTCTGTTGATGTAAAATAATTTTAAAACAGTATCTTTTAGAAGCTAAAATATTATGCAATTTTAACAATTAAGAAACAAAATTTACAATATTAAAAGTTTCTTCTGGAAAAGGCATATATAATAATTCGGTCTCGTCTTTCATAACCAGTTATTTCCATGAAAACTAACCACATTATACACTGTGTTAGATGGATATAAAATAATGAAAATATTCATCACAGATTTAGAGATTTTACAATAAGAAAAAATAAGAAAATTCTATTCCCGTTAATTAAATTCTATTATTTTTCATCACTTGAATATCTTTTTCTTAATCAATTTTCATGAAACAAATTAGAAATTCGAAAATCATTTTGAGTTTTATGATTCCACAGCTGAATTGTAATCTTTAAGGTTAATAAAGTTATATTTAGACATAAATGTTATAGTTAATAATCACAATTTAACATTTAAATAAACAATTTAGAGACAATTGAACATCTAACCATTTAAGATCTGAATAATTTTATTTTATTTTTTTTAAAGGAATAATTACTGATAAACTAATGAAAAGCCGATGAAAAGGGCGTTAGATTACGACTGAAAGGTCACTGAAAGATAACAGAAAGGTCACTGAAAGATGACGGAAAGGTCACTGAAAGACGACGGAAAGGTCACTGAAAGATAGTTGAAATGTGTCTGCTGAATGGTGACTGAAAGGTACCTGAATTGTGGCTGAAAGGTAACTGAAAGGTCACTGAAATGTACCTGCCATTCAGTGACTGAATGGCCAATGAAAAGTCACTGAAAGCCGCCTTTCAGTTTTAACTGAAAGATCTAGTTTCTTCCTGTGTAACACATCTGTTTCATATTTGGATATTTTACTTGAAAAAGACGTTAATGGTAATCTAACAACCAAGCTTTATGATAAACGTGATGACTTTAACTTTTCAATCGTCAACTTTCCTTACTTATGCAGCAATATATCTTCATCACCTGCATACGGGGTTTATATCTCTCAGTTGATTCGATACGCAAGAGCATGCTCTACGTATGTACAATTTCTAAAACGAGGTAAATTATAGACAAACAAGTTGGTGAAACAAGAATATCAGCAGTCTCGTTTAAAGTCATCATTTCGTAAGTTCTATGGTCGAAAATGACCTTGTCAGCAAATACAATTTATCTTTGAGTCAAATGCTGACTGACGTTTTTCATACTAATTGTTAGGCCATTATTTACACACTGAATTGTCAACGGATTTTTCCGTTATTTCCCGATCATGACAAGGAGCACACGGTGTGACCGGTCGGCAGGGGATGCTCATTCCTCCATGGCACCTGATCCAACCTCTGATGTTTTGGAGGTCCGTGTTTGCTCTGCTCCTATTTTGTATCGTTTAATGGACTTCTGAGCTTGAATACTGTTCGTTATCCCCATATATTTCATTTACAATCAAGCAAACAGAAATAGGGGAAATCATTCAAATATTCCAATAGCAAATGCAAAACGTGAAAATATGAAGATAACTAACAGTGATCGATCTCTAAAAATCTATGAACAACACCAATCCGTTAAGAGGACATAAAACATGGACCCCAGGAAATTCCAGATGTGGGACCAGGGGCTCAATTAGGATATATGGATACGTAGTGCCGGTAAATATTTTCATACGCAAAATGGCTGAAGAAATAATGCACATTGCTGAAGAATATGATGAAATTTGGAGAAATACTATGTAGCGTAGGAACAAGTTGACAGGTCGATGGGTTGAGGGATTGTTTGCTTGACAGGTCTACATGTATTCAGGAAGACATGTCGATGGTTTGACAGGTCGACAGATTGACGAGTTGACTGGTCGACATGTCGACGGGTTTACAGGTCGATAAATTGACAGGTCGAAGGATTATTGTCTGCAGAGGATTCGAGCACTAACCCTAATCTCTCGGGTGGGTTTGAGGACTAATTTTAATCTCTCGATTGGGTTCGAGGACTAACCCTAATCTCTCGGCTAACCCTTATTTCTTGTGTGTATTCGCGCAAAAACAAAGCTTATCAATTCGAGAGAATTTAGGGTTTAATTTTAGAATAGTTTTATTCATTGTTCTAAATTAAACTTTTTAAATTTGTTTTTCGCATAATTAGGTTTATTATAACACTTTTTTTTTCATTTTATCATTCAGACAAGGAAAATGTATAAATGTATCGCCCACCCAGAACGAGGATTCGTTCATGATAGGCAGAACAGACACAATATATATTCTCAGGATCAGTTGTATTTTACATATACTGGATAATTATCTGACGAAACAGAGGTCCATGGGCCACAACGCTCACCTGAGTCACTTTGGCCCTGCTGTTCTTCATCAGATTTTCCCCCTTGTAATAATTATTGTGGCTCCAACCTACCCCCGGGAGTCAGAATTTGAATAATTTAGAATCTACACTACCTCAGAAAGCTTCCATATAAATTTCAGCTTTTCTGGCTCCGTGGTTCTTGAGAAGATTTTTAAATATTTTTCAATGTAAAAATTTGATTCCCTATTGTGGCCCCACCCTACCCCCAGGGGCAATAATTTGAACAATCTAGAATCTACACTACCCAAGGAAGCTTCCACATAAGTTTCAGCTTTTTTGGCCCAGCAGTTCTTGAGAAAAAGAATTTTAAAGATTTTCCTAAATATCTCAATGTAAAACTTTGATTCCCTTTTAATGACCCACCTTTTTTTATTTTTTTTTTTTTAATATCTCTCTTTGAAATTGGCCTTGGCCCTTCATTTTAACAATTTATACTCCTCTTCACCCAAGGATGCTTTGTACCACTTTGGTTTAAAATTGACCCAGTGGTTCTTGAGAAGAAGTTGAAAATGTGAAAAGTTTACAGAGAACGAACAGACGGACGGACGACGGACAATGGGTGATCAGAAAAGCTCACTTGAGCTTTCAGCTCAGGTCAGCTAATATTTGAATCCAGCTCTATATCAGGGAAAGAAAATGTTGAATACAGTAAACGAGACCTTTCGATCGACGTTATGAGGGAAAAGGGGATACCGACTGGTAGTCGACTTTTGTTTTGAGTTATAAAGGAAACCGAACAATGACAACTGTTGATTTGTCGACCTTTATTTTAAGGGAAAATAGTATTCCAATGGGTGACAACTGTCGTCCTGTCAACCTTTGTTGTGAAGCATAAGATTTAGCAATTGTATGTCGACCTGTCGACCGTTATTTGTAGGGATGAGTTCACCAGTTAGGTGTCAAATGTCGACCTTTGTGATGATAATACAGGTTAAGTGTCAAATTGTCAAACATTTAGGGAAAAAACTCTTCCTGTGGACTATTTTTAAAAGCATTTATTTGACGTAATGAGGCAAAACACTCTCTTATTGATTTATAAAGGGAACTATTTCTTTTCTAATTTTAAATTTGAAAGATGTCAATCGGTTTTACGGATCTACTTTTCAGTATACCCTAGGTACCCAGGAGAAATCATCCCCTGTTAATTGCTGGGAGCCCAGTGTATTGATCAGGTAGACAGAATCAAAATTCAGTATAAAAACAAAGGCCTAACAATTGGTATAAAACACATCAGCCAATATACGACCCAGTGATTAGTTTATATTTGCTAACGAGGTCATCATAACGACCGTAGAAACTAAGAAATGCTGACTTTAAACGAGGTTTTTGAAATCTCTGTAACATCAACTTATCTCTCAGTAGCCTGCCTCGGTTTAAAAATTGATTGTACTCAGCGCATACTCTTGAGTATCGCATAAGCTGGGAGATGTACACACCATATGCAGGTGATAGCGGTTACTATATAAATAAGGAAAGTTATGATGGATAAACGGGGATAAAGATTTATATATCAGTAGAAATTATTTTTGTGGGGAGATAAATGTCACCGATTATAAGTTAAGGATTTCGTTGATCCTCTTAAGATTCTGAATTTGTAGATACTTTCCTGTTGGTGAAAATTACTAGCTTCCTGTGACACAGTGTATACATCACTTCAGTGTTTATAGTTGTGGTTTATAAGCGGATAATAGAGCTCATTTTTAACTTGGGCTCTGGTCTTGTAAGACTATAAAACAATTCATTTTTATAAACATTTAATTTAAGATGTACAGTATTTTTGTATTGACATGTGAATTGAGTGAAACTCATCACGACTTCCTTTAAACGTTGAAATGTTGAAATATAAATGTTTTTATTATTAAAAAAAGTAACAGACAGTTTTTCATATTTTACTTGAGACAGTTACTTTTGAGACATTTGAAAAGAAATATTTCTCAAGTCCGTCACCTAGATATTCCTAAAGAGTGACATATAATGCTGATTATTGTGTACCTTTTGTTTCTATCTCTTTCAAATAATGCTCAAAGATTAACAAAATATCGCTTACAAAAAGTAGACTGCATCATGAGAATAGTCTTATTAAGACCATGGTCATCTGGGAACTTTCTTCTTTCAATGGTTTTCCGAGAATATCATATTTTGTTATTCAAGGTGTTTCAATAATAGATACATGTATTCATAAATTATTTACCAATATTTTCATAATTAATAAAAAATGTGCCTGTAGAAATCATTAGATTAATGGCAATGCTCTACAAACAATGTACAATTATATTTAAGCTTTCATCAGATGGTTTCTAATAACAAATCAAGTCACTCAAATTCTTATTTGTATGCTATTTTAAGATAAAAGTATTTCTTTTTCAATTGTACATTCTGTATTATATCTTACATATTGGTATAGATATTTAAAAAATTTTTACATGCTTTTGTGAACTAATCAAAGGCACATTTTGAAAATAAATATGAATAGATATATTGCAACTTAAAAAAAGAGCAAGCAAAATATATGATAAATTTTGCAATGTTGTCATTGTTTTTTTTATTATTATTATTCATAATTAATTTTTTTTTGTCTAGTATTAAGTTGTTCCCCCTTTTGCGCGAATAATAGCCTTAATATCACTAGGTTTGGAGTTTTTTTTTACAGAATGTCTGTGAAACTGAGTACTATTCCTATTGACGTGTCTCCTTATTCCACCGTAAATTTCACCGTAAGTGTTTTAGATTGAGTTATTTGGACTGCCTTGTGGCTGTATTTGTGTAGAAAATGCATTGCATTTGAAAAGCTCTGTGCTCCTCGGGAGGTATACTGAAAGATGTAAGTAGTTTGTTTACTTGTTAAGTATATCCAAGAAAAGGATGTCTATGTATTCTGTAGCTGCACGCCATTATCAAAAACACAAGAGAGTTTCTCAGATGAAGTGTATTTTCTAAACTTCCGATGCCGTGGAACACTGCTGATTCAAACCAATATAAACATTTGGGGTCAGAAAAGAAGACCGGATTTTACTGATAACATGCCAATAATTTATAAATTTAAAGAAATGTGGTAGCACTCTAGCGAGAACCTTGCTCGGTTCTAAAAAGTGTCTGTAAAAACCTCTTTACATGCCCCCAGTGAATTAAGGCTGTTACTCATTAAAAAGGGGACTTTTTCATACTAATTGTTAATTCATTATTTACACACTGATTTGTCGACAGATTTTTTCCGTTATTTACCGATCATGACAAGGAGCACACGGCGGGTGTGACCGGTCGGCAGGGGATGCTCACTTCTCCATATCACCTGATCCATCTCTAGTTTTGGAGGTCCGTGTTTGCTCTGCTCCCGATTTGTATTGTTTTAATGGACTTGGAGCTTAAAAACTGTTCGTTATCTCAATATTTCATCAATCGTTTTTTGTCGCTGACCCTTTTTAAACTTTTGTTTCTCATAACCTAATACCATGCGTCTTGAACAGCAGACACTTCGTATCACAAGTCAGAATTAAATATATACTGTAAAACTTGTTTTACCCCGTGTTTATCAATTTTTGCGAAAATATTCCAAAACATTGCAAACCTTAATTTCTGTAGTCCTATCTTTGCAAATGTCCAAGTGGTATAATGAAGTTTTTCTATATAATCTAAAGGTACACAATCGCTTTCAATTTTATTCGAATATAATACCTTGCAATTTAAAAATCCTCGCAAAGAAAGCTTAAATTGGATTATGACGAGAAACGCTATATGGCACCTCCCAAATGCTTCAGGCCACGTTACTGCATCTATTTTTCTTAGGTTATATGCCATTTGTCACTGGTATACAATTAAATGAGCATTTTCATCCAGGTTCAGGTTATCGTCTATCGTCAACTTCCCTTATTTATGTAGCAATATACCATTATCAACTGCATGTGGAGTTAATATCTCCCATTTGATTCGATACGCAAGACGAGAGTATATTACAAACAATTTCGAAAGGGAGGAAAGCTATTGACGAATAAGTTGATGAAACAAGAATATCGACAGTTTCGTTTAAAGTCAACATTTCGCAAAATTCTATGGTCGATACAATGACTCTATCAGGATGAAGTCCAATGTTGACTGACGTTTTTCATACGAATTGTTAGCCCTTATTTTCACACTGAATTTTCTACGGATTTTCCGTTTCCCAAATCATGACGATGAGCACACGGAAGGTGTGACCGGTCGACAGGGAATGCTTACTCCTCCATGGCACCTGGTTCCACCTCAAATGTTTTTTAAGAGGTCTGTGTTTGCTCTGCTCCAAATTGTACTATTTCAATGGACTTTTGGGCTTGATGTTTGTAATCTTCGTATTTCATATATCCTGATAAACATGTAAATATTAATTGAATGAAAATAAATCAGGAACAGTATACCAACTCGGGTTCTGAATTCACGTAATGTTGTCGGCTCATAATAGTTTTGAAAACGAGGTCATTGAATTGAGCAAATATTGATGTCATGAATAAATTTTCTATTAATTTCAATTTGATTAAGTATTAAAAGTTGTGATACTGTAAATTATATACCTTTAAAGACCGCGATTTCTACAAAAATATTAAGGTCAAACAACCAAAATCCAACCTAATCTGACTATAAGATTTCAAATATTTTGGTAAACCATACATATATATCAAGGACCATACACTTTGACAAAAACGTCATTGTCTACGAACAATAGTAATTAAATCATCATTTTCCTTCCTCATCCTTTTCTCTGACGTACAACTCCGATTCCTTTTTAAGTATTTTAAGTCTTCTCTTGTTTTTAAGATCTTGAAACAAGTTATTTAAGCGCGTGAATTCAACGAGACCTAATTTTTCTGATTCTTGGGCATCAGGGGCAAGACCATTTGCAATTTGAGCTTTCCTGATGATATTGTAACAACGAAGCACTACCAGTGTTGATGGATTATTTTTTATCGCCTCTTCCTTATTTCGTAAAGAAGATTCAATTACATTTATTGCCTCTTCGTATTTCGCAAGACTTGTCAGACTCTCGGCCAACTCACACTGCAAATTGAGTAAACCGAGATCACTTGGCTGACTGTCCTCAAGGCATTCAATGGCCTTTCGAAAGGAGTGTGAAGCAGAGGTATAATTCTCTTTCGCGGTATAAGCTTTGCCGAACGATTCATGAACAAGTGATTTAACATCTTTATAAATACCCTGGAGATTTTCTATCCGATTCAGACTACTATGTAAGAGGTCAAAGGCGTCTTCAACCCTTTCGGTGTCCGTCATTAAATTTGCTAAATTAATCTCGGACAACACTATACTTTTCACTGCAGCATTTGTTTGAATCTTTATTTCTAGTCCACGTCTAAAATGTATTTCTGCTTGTTCCAAATCAGCTTTCTTCAGATACATTTCTCCAACGTTGTTAATCATGGATCCCATTATTGGGTGTATGTCTGTCCCAATAGCAAGCCGCCTGCGCCGTAATGCTTCCTTTTGATACTTCTCACCAATTTCCATATGATCTATTTAAAGAATGAAATAAATTCCAAATTAATTTTGGATCTCAAGATTTTACCTATTTTTTCGTTTTATTTTTATTTTACATGTTGGAGTTTATATATTTGATACCTAGATCCAGATGGAATAAAGCGAGTGTTTGGAAGGTATTCAGGATAAGATTTTCTAAATTCATCCCTAATTCCAACTCTGTGCTTAAAGCTCTTTCGAGAAATCTGAGAGATAGAAATGAAAAAATAAAGAAAAAATTGTCCATACCAAGAAATAAAATAGTGGCATGATTTATTGTTCTCGATGACAGACACTAAGCTCGATTTATTTTTACATGCAAAAGTTAAGAGTTTTTATTATATAAAATAAAACTGTATTTCCTTTTTCAATCCCATTTGAATTTTTTTTTTAAAAAAACTTACGTTATGGCTTCCTGTGATTTTCCCTGACATCCTAGATTCCAGCCAAGTCCCTGATACAGCAAAGCCAGAGAAAAGTCGCTTTTTCCAACAGCACATTCCCTTATTCTCAGGGCACTTCTGTAATGCTTTTCACCAAGAATATAGTCTCCCTAAGTTACAGGAAAATATCTTAATTTATTCAAATAAAATCATTGACTTACTAATACAGATAAAATTAATTAGAATTATCATTTTTATGCATCATAATTGCAGCAATATGTTATATAACAAACTTAAGGGTGCACTGTGGCAACGCACTTTGAAGAAATTACTCACTTTGAAAAATATTTTCAAAGTGAGTTAATATTTACACAAAATCAACGCGCTTTGAAAAAAAAAGTGCGTTAAATTTGGGACAAATCAACACACTTTGAATTTTTTTTTCAAAGTGTGCATGAATATTTTTTACTATGCAGACATATACGCACTTTGATTGATTGATTGTATGTTGTTTTACGTCACGCTTGAGAATTTTTCACGCATATAGAGACGTCACCATATACCGGTGAAGGGCTTCAAATTTATACCTTTACTCGGCACTCGGGTCCATTGAGCAGTGAGGGTTCTATATCGTGCCAAGCCTACTGTGACACGGGGCCTCGGTTTTTAAGGTCTCGTCCGAAGGACCCGCAACTTTCACTTCAAAGTGCCGAGCGCTTGGCGAAGGAACAGTTGCTACCTTTTTTTTATCGACTTAGGTCAGTCGCGGCCGTGATTCGAACACACTCACTTTGAAAAAATATGTATAAAACAAAAGTTCTGGACCGAGATCTTAGTAATAGACAGCATTATTTTATTTCTTTCGAAAAATTGATGAATTGATCTACCCTCATCGAGAACGAGGGGAAGACAGGTAAAAGGTCCCTTAGCCCAGGCTTTTTATCTTTTCTACCCAAATACATGTATATTTATTTACATAACTGGTATAACACTGATATACTTTCTCTCAATAAATTTAAGTTGTTAAGTCTATGAAAAGTAGATGAAAAAAACTGAGATAAGTTTTCCCGAAAAAAAATTAACGCATCCTATAATATAAAAGAAGAGAGGCTCGGTGGCCACATCGCTGATCTAAGCAACAATAGCCGACTGTCTTTACTTTGGTCAAAGACGCTTTACAAAATCAAATACATGTACAATGCAAATAAAAAAAGTATAAAATGCATAAATATTTTTATACCTCTTAATGCTAATCAAATAACTGAAAAAAAGGTCATCATATTGTGTGGGTATAAACAATTTTTTTTCATACTTCTAAATACTAATACCAAATAAATATAAAAAGACCATCATATTGTGTGGGAAAAGTATTTTCAATGGAAAATCATAATTGCTCCCTTTTCCCTAAGAAAAATGCAATGCTTTAAGTCACTTCTACCGAACTTATTACAGACTCGGTAAATAAAAAAAAGAAACGAAGTTGTGGTATAAAACAATCATTCCTCCATTATTTCTAAAAGACCCATTCCCCTTTTATAACATTTATGAGAACCTTTGGGAATAAGTCAACCCCTAAAAATCTTTAAAACGTCTATATCTCATATCCTTAAGTGACGTCATAACCGAAAAGTTATCCAAACAGGTTCAAAGAATTATTTATCATACAATGTACCAAAAATTTTCAAAGATATTGACTTAGTTGTGCACATTTTTGTTTTCAAAGTCAATACTAACGCACTTTGAAAAGAAATATATTTTTATCAAATTTGGTCCCAAATTTAACGCATTTTGAAAAACTTTTCAAAGTGCGTTGTAACAGTGCATTTCCTAAAACTATCAATAGCTGGTTGATGATGTAATTTACTACTCAATTACTATACCTCTTATAATTAAGGCTTAAGTACCCTACACTAGCATTTTCACAAGAAACATTGGTAATCAGTAAATACAAAGTTGCCCGGAAAGCTTTCTATAAGAAAAGTAACTCTTCAAACCCATTGGATATTCAGGAAGTGTAGATCTTAAGGTACAACATCCATTCAAGTTAATTTCAGGTACGAATTATTGTTACTTGGTAATTGAATGGAATTATCCCACAAATGTTAATCTGTTCACTCATTCGGTAATGCATGACAGATAGAGCATTAGAAATGTGTTTCTAGATGGATCGTCCATGCACGTTTGGTCCAGATAGGATCGTTGGAATCGACGTGTTCCAAAAACTTTAATTTTATCGTTCAATCATTAAAACAAACTATTTTCAATTTGATGATGGTGAGGATTATAATATGGAAGGTATGGTCTGGACCCATTTTCAGCATATCAAACTATATTGTCTAAAAATGTGGTCAATATTATATATCTTTTGCCACGAGACATATTTTTTTGATTTCCTCCATTGAGAAGCGCTAACCATCAAATTAATAACTTAATAATACGTAATGAAACAAAATATGCAAAAAATGTGTCTTTCTTGATTTTTTCCCCGCTTATCTAAAGCTTGGAAATTTTTGGAGTAAAATGAAGGAATTAAGAGTACATTATACACCCATCTGTATCTGATTGATGGTGTATGATTTAGAAAACTGTAACAACCCTTGTGTTTCAGGGCTTGATAACCCTACACCTCACATTATGCAAGGTAAACAGAGGTAATCAAGAGAGATAGCAAAACTCACCTTGATGAATGTTACATGTTTCTATTAGTAAGGTAAAGTTCAAGCCAACTGTATATTCTAGAAGTGTACATCACTAGATGCAACCTTCATGCAAGTTTGGTTCAAGTACAGTTTATGGTTATTTTGGGAATGGCACTGCTAATAACATTTCAATCATACAGAAAATGTAGGTGACATACAGCATCAGAAATGTATCTAGCATTGTGCATCAATAGATGCATCATCAAATCCATTTTGTTTGAAGTGGGAATTATAGCTTTTTGGAAATGAACCTGCTCTAAACTTTAACTTGGAACACCAACGTCAAGAGAGACGTACCATGAGCTCTTCTCGAAGTCTTTGAAGTGAGCCAAAGTGAGCTTAAGAAGATAAAACCACGCAATTTAATATATATATATATATATATATATATATATATATATATATATATATATATATATATATATATATATATATATATATATAAAATATTTTTCTTTTTTTTTTTTTTTGAAAAAAAAAAAAAACAAAAAACAAAAAAAAAAAAAAAAAAACACACACAGGAAACCCGACGTGTTTTGGGTTCCATATACATCATAGATTTTCAATGAAAAGGTCAAGTTGGCTTTTAAATGCATTAGGGGTTGTCAGCTTTTACGAAATAAATATAGTCAGAAGTATTGAAATACCTTGATATTTGTTACAACACGCCCCCACCCAATAAGTACTCGCGATGCATCGTACTCATTTCTTTGTTTTCGTGTAAGACGCAAGCATTCCTGGTAGAAAACCATTCCCATTTCTGCAAGAATATGACTTTGTTTGTAAGAGCAGTAAGAAAATCAAAGAGGATCATTAAAGCGATAAACTGTTATATGAGGGAAAATGATATTTCATTAAACATTTGAATAAGGATGTCTTTACCATATGTTTCAGGAGAATTAAACACGAAAGCAGGTGTGGCCATGTTAAACTCAAACGAGGCAATATTGACAAAGTTTTCATAGGTATCACCGGTACAGTGGAACACATCTGTAAACAATTTATTGAAGTTTTGTTGCTCCAAATTCAATTGACAAAGCGCGGCCTGGTACTCGTACGTAAAAGTCCTGTTTTCCAACTCTTGAAGGATCTCTGAAAAGACCTTACAAAACCTGATACGTACAACTGGAAAAAAAGAAGCATCCAAATCAAAATCATTAAAATAAAAACATCATGTGTTTTAAACATGTTTAAGGGACAACATATATAATGTGGTAAAGTATTGTTAAAGTCTTATACACACCGGGTAAATCCTTTATCAGAATGTATTCAGTTATGCAGTCTCGCAAAATTCCGTGAATGTCTAACCTTTGGAAGTTACTGTTTTTATGAATAATGTGGTGTTTTATCACTGTTTTCAGGTCCTCAATGTCTGAACATTCACGTCCTAGAATTTATAGAATATTATGAACATTTTTGACAAATGAGTGAAGCAACTCTATAATGTCGAGCACGATACAAAGCTTACCCATCATCTCCATTGCTTCCCTCTCATTAAATGTTCCTGGAATATAATTTATCATGGATAATTTCTCTTGTAGGGGTTCAGAGAGCCGCTGAAGAAAGGTGAGATAGATTGGTGCTGTAACAGAAAAACAAGTTGGTATCTGGTTATTGGTGCTAAAAATACAATCATATTTCAATGCTTTTAACATGAGTCCATAGATACTTCTTTAAGTGATCAATTTGGTGAAATTGTTACCCAGTCTATCTGTGCTTGGATAGTATTCTTGGCTTAAAAGTTTCAGTCGACACTGGCTCAGCAGATAAACTATATCTTCCACTGTTAATATACCGGCAGCAATCTCTGTTGCAACCATCTTAAGAGCAAGAGGTAACCCCATACATAGATCTACTATTTTGTAGAACTTTTCGTCGTTTTTCAAAGATGGACAAAGCTTTCGAAGCATGTCTTGCGAGTCTTTCAATGACAGTGGATCCAATACCATTTCGAAAACTTGAGGGTGATTGACTTCAAGTTCTGCCGTTGAAGTTGCTAAGATTCGTACGTTGTCAAGATTTACAACCAAATGAAACACCTTTTCCAAGTATTTAGACCTTCCATCCTCTATAACGCCTTCAATATTATATAGAGCAATGAGATATTTTGTTTTGGACACTTTGAGTTCGGAACAGAGTTTTTCAAGCAATTTTTCAAATACTTCTTCCATATTCTCTTCATCAGGAAGGTGCTTTCTTTCGTTTAAAATTGTCGAAAATAGAAATTCCAGATTTTTGATTGGCTCTTCAGCATTCCTTAAATCTGCACTGTAGACTTGAAAATCTTTAACCTTGCTGCATATCTGTCGAATTACAGAGGACTTTCCAACTGCTTTCAGTCCATACAAAATGACAGCCCTTTTTGTTGATGATGGGGAAAACAAAATATGGGAGATATCACGAATCTCCCTTATACGACCAACAAAATCCTCCATATTTCAAGGTACAATTTATACACTATTAAATCGATGCATTTTGCACGGGATCTGATAAATATTACGTAAGAAAGAAGTCAGGAAGTGCATGTATTTTGGCATAACCTAAAACTTTACTCTGTCTTAAACATTTCCCGATTTTTTACCTTGCTTTGGTGTCTTTAAGTGTTTTCCGTAAAATTAGACCTAAACTACCATTTATATACTGGCCTTTTTCGATATTCTTTGTGTTTCCTCAATGGATTTTGTCCTGTTTTGAAATTATGCAAACAGAAAGTGGATATTGCATTCTTCATGAATTTATAAAACGAAACCACTGAAACAAAACAGAAATCACACGAAAATCAGAATAAAAGAATAATTCATCAATTAGCTGCATAAATTTATCTTAATTCTAAAAATTTATTCAGAACGCAATAACTATTGTATTCGCCATGGTTAGGCGAGTGTATGTAGAGGCTTGCTTATAATGACTGGAGTTTAAAGGTCTTATCAAGTGTAACTGAAGACTAACCTCTAATGTAAGGTGTTTGTGTTTGACAATTGATTTGTTGGTAGCTATTGTCATTACTTTAACATATTATCCAGCGAATAAAAGTCGTATATAATTAATTTAAGCTGTTCACAAACTTTCTTACATTTAAAAGATAGAACCGATTTGAATTAAATATGGCACACGAAATTAAAAAAAAAAATAATATCACTTTTTATGTGTCAATACGGGGCCTCAAAGAGCCGTATTTTGTATAAGTCTCAAGAACATATATTGATACTTGTTTAGATTTGATAATCATACTTTACAAGTCGTGAAGAATATTTATTGAATTAATCATGTTTTGAACTCGTAAATTTTAAAATTTCAATTTTTACTGATTTGGTTTACACATTAAAACAAAGATTAAGGTCTAACGACACGTTCCTGAAATGTTTTTGCATCTCTTCAAAATACATTGTATATCAAAAAATATTTATAATAATTATTATCCTGAAACATTATCCTCTGATATCTTGCACAAATCCCTGGTAACGTGCCTCATTTTTTGGGAAAGAAACTAGTTTGAAATGGAGTAATATTTCAATCTGAAATTGATGGGGAAAATTACATATTGCCGAATATATCTTCTTACCTTCCAAACCTTTTTTTCTTAAAAGCATTCTGATTGTACACACAAGTACTCTGAAGATCATATAAACTCATAAAAAGATGCTTGAGTTTCTGATTGACAATATCTGTGTAGTTTGGAGACCATGTCTTCCAACAATCCGTTGGAATTCCCATGGGTACCAATTGCGCCCCCTTATAAGCAGACCTATTTTTGTATTCATATGAAGCAGAATTTATTCAAGAACTTCTATATGAGAAGAAGAAAACACTTTTGCCTTCAACTCGACATTTCGACGACGTATAATCAATTAACAATAGTTATTTTCATTCATAAGTCGACTCGATATATTCCAATGAGCTTGAAATAAAAGATACCACAGATTCTGACACATCTGTTTCATATTTAGATATTTTACTTGAAAAAGATGTTAATGGTAACCTAAGAACAAAGCTTTATGATACACGTGATGACCTCAACTTTTCAATCGTCAACTTCCCTTACTAATGTAGCAATATACCCTTATCACCTGCATATGGGGTTTATGTCTCTCAGTTGATTCGATACGCAAGGACATGCTCTACGTATGGACAATTCTAAAACGAGGCAAACTATTGACAAGTTGATGAAACATGGATATCAACAGTCTCGTTTGAAGTCATCATTTCGCAAGTTTTACGGTAGATACAATGACCTTGTCAGCAAATACAACCTATCATTAAGTCAAATGCTGACAGATGTTTTTCATACTAATTGTTAGGCCATTACTTATACACTGAACTGTCTACGGATTTTTCCGGTTTTTGTCCAGATCATGACAAGGAGCACACGGCGGGTGTGACCGGTCGGCAGGGGATATTCACTCTTCCATGGCACTTGATCCCACCTCTAAATTTTGAGGTCCGTGTTTGCTCTGCTCCAAATTTGTATCGTTTCATTGGACTTTCGAAATTGAATACTGTTCGTTATCTTCATATTTCACTTCAGAATAACTTAAGCCTATAGTTCGGAGATGTTAGATGTTCGTTGTTAATCAAGACAAATGGCTCACGGCAGGTGATGATTACTGCTCCTTGGCATCTGATCTAACTTCTAATGTTTTCAGTGCTCCGTGTTTGTTCTACTCTCATTTTGTATTGTTTAATTGTACTTTTGAGCATGACTATTATTTATCTTCAAATTTCAAGAGAAGTAATGAAACCTTCCGACCTCTGTATGTGGGTTTCATTAATGTATACTGGCGTCAGGAACGACTTGAGATTGGCTCATTGGCTTTCGGGATACATACACCCATACTGTTGAAGCTTGGAAACTTTTTAGTTTACTCAAGGCCTTATATAAGGCATGAGAGTACACACATAAACATTTTGAACAGGAATATAAAAACAAACATATATATACAAGAGTTTACAGGTGTTGGAAAATAATATTAAGGTTCTGTTTCACTTAATTCAATAAGAAAATATTTATCCTGACTATTCATGAAATGAGAAAAACTTAATTTTTCTATTTTTGCATAAATCATTGTGTAATTTTTTACTGGCTTGTTTAAATTAATCACAATTGAACAAATAATATTAAACTCTTCACTCAGTTCTAAATTACAAAGATGGCTTGTACATTACTGTATGGATTTTGGAGTTGTCGCTCTTGGTTTGCAATGTAGCTAGGATGTTCAAGCAGTTGTCATCCAATATACACTGTCAAGAGGTCAATCTGGAAGAGTTCACAGTCTGCCTTTTCAGATACCGCCTTGAATTAACGTAATATATAAAATCGTGGAATCACTAACCAGTCACATTGAAACGGAAGTCTTTATGTTTAACCGAATTTTGCTATGCATTGCTTGTAAAATGTAACTTAATCCAAAAATTAATTTTACCGTGTTTTGGTACAGTGGATTGAATCAGGCATGACTAATAGGAAAAACTTTAAGGAAATTTTCATAAGCATAATGTAATGGAGATGGACCTAAATGAAACGGAAACAACAATACATAGCTAAGATGAAAATTATATAATCTTTGATTTTGCATTTAGATATTTTTTGTTTCTTTAATCTTATTCTCATGCATTGTTTGCGTCCATATATGGCTACGGCTAGCGAGGTCACTTTGTGTATAAACTTTAATTTCCTTTTCTCATAGGATGTGAGATTTTAGATTTATAATTTTAATTTATATTTGAATCAATGATTTTCAAAAATACCATATCTTTGTCAAAAAAGGAAAAATACATTTTGTCTGTCAAGTATTTTTCTCTATTATATAAGCAAAGATAAGCCCCACATTATTTAAAAATGAGTTTCAGTTATGACCCTGGGGTCGTCTCGGTGCAAGATTTTTTCATATTCCTTTAATATATATATATATATATATATATATATATATATATATATATATATATATATATATATATATATATATATATATATATATATATATATATATATTACCGCCTATAAATTTTGGCCGTCAGGATCTAAATTTTTGCAAACTTGAATCTATCCAACACGGGAATTTTTTAATTGAATTTATTCGAACCATAGCCTGCTGCGCATGGAAAAAAAAATGTTTTTAAAAAGAGCTGTGTAGTGGTACATTTCATATTGTCGCCCCTACCCTCATGCACATACCTGTATTGTCGTCTTTCGGCGACAAAGTATTTCGTACAAATGAAATATATGGAGATAACGAACAGTATTCAAGCTCAGAAGTCCATTAAACAATACAAAATAGGAGCAGAGCAAACACGGACCTCTAAACATCAGAGGTGGGATCAGGTACCTTGGAGGAGTGAGCATCCCCTGCCGACCGGTCACACCCGCCGTGTGCTCCTTGTCATGATCGGGAAATAACGGAAAAATCCGTCGACAATTCAGTGTGTAAATAATGGCCTAACAATTAGTATGAAAAACGTCAGTCAGCATTTGACTCAATGATAAATTGTATTTGCTGACAAGGTCATTGTATCGACCATAGAACTTACGAAATGATGACTTTAAACGAGAAAGCTGATATTCTTGTGTCAACTTGTTTGTCAATAGATTACCTCGTTTTAGAAATTGTACATACGTAGAACATGTTCTTGCGTATCGAATCAACTGAGAGATATATACCACGTATGCAGGTGATGAAGGTATATTGCTGCATAAGTAAGGGAAGTTGACGATTGAAAAGTTAAAGTCATCACGTTTATCATAAAGCTTGGTTGTTAGATTACCATTAACGTCTTTTTCAAATAAAATATCCAAATATGAAACAGATGTGTCAGACTCTGTGGTATCTTTTATTTCAAGCTCACCAGGATATATCGTATCGACATAAGAATGGAAATAGCCATTGTTAATTGACAATACATCGTCGATATATCTAAATGTCGAGTTGAAGGCCACAGCAAGTGTTTTCTTCTTTTCAACTGGCACATATTTGCTCGATGGCGATGTATACGCTTCGCACATTTGCCTATTTTATCACCAAAAGTATTGTTTGAATAATGTTTTACGGGTGTGGAGGAAGAGAGAGAGACAGAGAGAGATATTTTTTGTATTTTCAATGAATTCATTTTCATCTTATTTATTGCACCATTGAACCAGGCTTGTTACAATATCGTCTTTGTTTGTAAGGTTCGTTATTACAACTGTATCTTAGAAGAACTTGGTTTTAATTCTTCATCTGGAAATCCATCTTATAGTCACAGTTCACTTTCTTAGAATAAAATTCTTCAAAATCACATTTCAGTCTTTAAAACGTTTATAACATTCCAGTCAAAGAAAAGTGAATCCGATCTTCCCTACTTATTCTGGATTCCTAAACTTAATAAAAATCTTTACAAAGATACATTGTCGAATCCAGCAACTGCTCTTCCAAACCCCTCAGTATTATGTACGTATTCCTCACA